TGTTTTGGGCAGGACAAGGTGAAACCTGCGCATTGTATGGGCGAAAATCGAGGGGCACAATCATATGAGAAAATTAGGATGCACGTGCTCCCCACCCTTCCAATAAATACAGCTATACCATAGTCTCAAAGCATATTTTGTATTACGTCGAACAGGAACCACATCTTTATGTTCCTCGTACCAACCAAGCTCGGTAAGCTGTAAATACGTACCCTGACATCAACCTGAGACAATATACCAAACGTGACCGGCTTCCGGTGAAAAGGCATATGAACACAAACAGAGCGTCTGAAAACGAGTCAGGGATGAAAAGTCAGCATTTGATCACAGGTGAGCAGACTAAGAGCACTTACTAAATCGGGCGAAGGTAAGGGAGGGGGTTCGGGTAAATAGGGCTGTACGAGTAAGAAACGCCCTCCGGGCCGTACGTGCCCTGGAACGTGACGGGAGCGCCGCAGGCGGCGTACTTCTGAGGGTAGACACCGTGAGCGGCTGCGTTGTACAGGCGGGCGTGCTCAGCCTTGGCGGCGGCCACCTCAGGGGTAACGCCGATCGGCAGAGCAATGCGTTTCTTGTGGTAGCCACTCCTGGTAGCAGCAGCCTCGGCGGGCGTCTTCACGCCGGTGACGGCAGCCGCCGGCAGGTTGGTGCCAGACACACGGTAGCCAGACTCGTCCACAACGTAGTCGACCGTCTGTTTCACACCATTGAGGTCCACCTAATTAAAGGAGCCCACGATAGGAAAGAAGGGAATTTTTCCGTCGAACTTTGTACTGAGACCGTTGTCCTGGGGGCGGACACCGGCCGGGGCGCTGAGAGCGAAGCCGTTATAGACGGCAGCAACGTATTTGGTATAGGGGGCGGTCAAGTTGGTCCAGTGTCTGGCGGCGTCCGGTTGTACCAAGTAGACCAGGCTGCTGTAGGGCAGGGTGTACTGGGCATCTGTAACGGCCAGGACAGCGCACACCACCATCTGAAAAGGACAAATTCAACCCCATATTTGTTGTTGAAAAGAGTTGGATTGTTGATCTATGACGTGGCAACTCTCGCAGTGACTCTGACGTCATAAAAACGTTCCAGGACACAGTAAAGTGATGGTGCGGTGAAAATCATCTTACAGCGACATTGCTATATTCAGCAGGCATTTGCACGAAAAAGTATGCGAACCAGCGAACTTTGAATATCATGTATGAAAGCTGCCTTAATATCTCCAAGTGTGGCACAGTTCTTTTAGAACACATCCTCGAGAATATTTAGTTCGTATGTTTCCTAAGAGGAGAAACGGTGTTAAGTACCGATTCGTACTAAAAGTGGCAGAGTTTATTACGTATAGACACTAAACAGAGCAGCCCGGTAACCCAAGGCTGACCGGAGGAAGTGAGGCTGTGTAGAGGTGGACGTCGTGAATTTCTTTTCTTTCGATGTGAGTAGAAAACCTTTACCATTTCGGAATCTCAATTCCCATTCGAATGCGAGTTGCTCGTAGTACGCGGCGAGGTCGGTCGGCTGGTTGTCAGTGTGCGGGGGGGGGGGGGGGGTGTGGAAGTGATTGGAAGTAGGAGCGTGCCTGGAGAAACTCACGCCGCGTAATTTACAGAAGAGTGTTATTTACCGGCTGAGTATGATAATGATATGTCCTGGACTACAGGGCATTGGAAAAGGCATTGTCATCCGGGTAGTGCACAAGGAATGGCATACTAGTATCGAGATGTCGTTAGCATCAGACTTGGGTTTGACTCGAATGTCTTGAACCAGCTCCGGACCGGCTCACAGATTGTGGAATCTGACTCAGCTCATGACTCGCTGTTCCATTTTTCATTGACTAAGTTCAGACCAAATTTGCATTGGAGCACTTGACGCATGACTTATGCAGATTGCAAAGTCAAATATAAGCTCTGGCTCATTTATGTGCATGTGTATGTGTTACACGCATATATATATATATATATATATATATATATATATATATATATATATATATATACATATACCTCTGGTTTCTGGCTGGGATCTGGTAAACTTCGGGATGAACAACATGGGCTTTTCTGTTTAGAAATTGTGATAATGATTATGTGCTGATGCTGTAAAAGTTTTATACCTTATGCAGCACCGTGTTAAGATTGGCACTGAAATAAGACGTGGATTTCCCTAGGACGCACCATATTTCCTTGTGCTGCCCAGTTGACTTCAGCGATATGACTCACTGATACAACTTTGCGGAAAAGAATAACCTCATGACTCAGCTCATGAAATGTTTGGCAAATGTGATTCAGGTCATGACCCAAACTAGCATTTTTTCCGAATGAGCAGATACAGCCTATAACTCACCCTAAGGTGATTGACTCATGAGCAGATTCCCAATCCAGCTTGAATTGAGCACAGTTCTAGCTAGTTTGTGGTCTAGAGGGTTTGCATTTCAAGCACTGAAGATACTTTTCTACTCTTTAAGATATTAAGGAAAGCATTTCCTCTGTTGCAATAAGTGCACCTACTCCTCAATACGTTATTGCCGGATAACGCCATGGAACGTTTTTATGACGTTGAAGTCGGTGCCAGACTAACCGTGTTAGAGTTGTCATTGTAGCAGGCGGCGTTACTTGTAGTATTTCTACGCGCCGCAAGATAGTGGCGATCACCTAGGCATGTACATATATGTTACGAGCTCTATATACGTGTGACGTATAAAGTCATCATTTAGCATGTTGTTGACGCTGACGGCTTTCGCCTGCCACGGACACTGTACAAAACTGCGAGAGACTTGCAATACATCTCTCGGCCCCGCCGGATGTCCCTCTTTCGTTCTCCATCAACAATAGTGGCAGCGGCGGTTGAGGGTACTTTTGCCCTTCAAGATGAACTCAAGCCTCTCCAGTTGCAATGTCGTTGCTCTCCGCGTTGTCCGTTTTTCGTGACGGTGCGTCACCCCCCACGTCAAGCGGTCAGCACGGGTGCTGACCGCTCTGGGATGTCACCGTCCACCAGCATCGTCCCAGTGTTCAGCTCTGAGCAGCATCACCTGCTCTGAACCCAACACATCAGCTACACATGACCAAAACGGAGCCTGCCGACATCATGCGGCCGACCAGCTTGCGCCGTGTGTGGTTTACTCACACAATCTAGTGACTTTCCCACAGCAGCGACAAGAAAATTACTGTGAATTTCATGAGCTCTCGCTTCTTTAACACCAATTCGATGACGGGGAAACCCAAGGCACAGTGCAAACTGCACTAAAACGCGTGATTCTTCCCCGCGCAGCAGGGGAAAAGCAGGAAAAAGTGTCCGGAAGTCAAAAATGCTCTCCAAAATCTTGTACTCGCCAGATCCCCTGCAGTGTTTCATGCGCCGTGTGCGGTGTAATTGTTCTGCGCCAGCTGCTCCCTCTAAATTTGTAAAAGTTTTGCAGCACATTTGTTATCGTAATTAACATATTGAGCTTTGCAAGATGTCACATTGATGTTTTAACATAAAAGTGTCTACATTAGGTATCAACATCCAACTACGTGCTATATCGTGGTTAACTCGCTGAATTTATGCGCACATGTGTTCCGACCGGAGTGGCCGAAGCGGCCAGATATGTCGACGACGGTCATGTCAAAGATTAGTGAATCGCACAGCCGTAAGTCCCACGACCTTGGCGGGGACTCGAGGCGATTCTGACAATTGCCATTTTCTCTAGCGTTAAGGGCTATTCAAACCACCGTGGCAGGCAGTGGGTGTAATTACTACGATCTAATTAAATTATCAGTGCATGCCATACTTGCAATGTCCGCAACTCCAAACTCCACTGTTCGTGCATGTTCAGGCGTTTGCTCTCTTTACTGTGGTCGCTTCGGTTCCCTACGCTGCCCTGGGGGAGGGAAGATAGGTGGGACCGAGGCTCCCTCTTCATATCCAAAGGAATCACAACCCAGAGCCATCCCGTGCTAGGACACGCCTCGGATGATGGCCTCAGTCTACCCGAGGCGCCCGATCCTCACTCAGCTGACGGTCGGGTATTCCGGGAACCAGCCGCACAGACGGCCGCCATCCCCTGTCACGAACGCTGTCGCTGAGACTGTGGGATGCTTGGAAACACCTCCCGGCCCTGGTGGACGTCTTTCGTTCGTTTTTCGCCGGCAGCGATCTCCCTGTCTTGTCATGGCCGGCCTTGCAGTGGAGTTGTCTGTATGTAGAGCTGTAGTGGTGTTTTTCTCCCGACGTCCATCCAAAGCGTGCGTGTTCAGGCTGGTGGATGCCGTTACGGTGCCGCGACCAGTACTGCTATGTCAGAACTGCACCGACATGTGGCCTGACCACAGTCACTTGGTGTCGGGTCGAGATCGTGTCGCACCCATCCCGTGTTGGGCACTGAAATGGTACGCCTCACAGGCTCATCCCCACCTTTGCTCGAGTGAGAGCTTCCGTGCTTTGCACGCTCGCCTCTCTCCATATCACAATTGGATCTTTGTAGCCGTCGTTCACTCCTTATGGACTGAACTCGTGAAGTCGTTCACTCCGTAGGTGAATTTCGACGCGTACCGTTTTGTGAAAAGCGCGTGATCTAATTTCCGTTCGATGCTGGGAGCTCTTCGCTTGAGGAGTTTCATAATCGGATATCTCCGAAAGCGTTTGACGTTCAACGGTGGGCCTGCGATCAGACATTTTTGAAAGTAAGTTCGAAAAGGCCGTCCGTTTTAGGCACTATATGTAGATGCTAAACAACTGTTCGCGATGCGCAGTGAAAACTCTCAGTGTGTATACAAAAGGTATTACAGTGCTCTCGAGCATGCATGTGGCCAGTTCTCTGAGATTGGACGGTCAAACTGGAATCCGGGGGACAGCCTGATCCGAAAACGGTATCTTGAGTGGGAGTAGGTGAAAATATGCAGTGTACGAGCAAAAATGGGGAAGACACAACCCCATCATGCGAAACTTAGGACGCGTTTCTTCGATCCCTCCCCGCACTCCCACCCCCATCCCTACCCCACTCAAGCCCTCCAGTAATTAAACCATGCTACTGCTGCCTAGTATATTTTGTATGGTGTCAAACATGATCCACATCTTAAGACCCCTCGCTCCAGCCAAGCTCGGTAAGCTGTAAATACGTACCCTGGCGTCATGCTGAGAGAATACATCAAACACGACAGGTCTCTGGTGTAACGGCAAATGAGCACAACCAGAACGTATGGGAGCGAGTCAGAGATGCAAACTTTGCATTTGTTCGCAGGTGAGCAGCGCACAGAATGCTTACCAGAGCAGGCGAAGGTAAGGAAGTGAATAGAGCTGTACGAGTAAGAAACGCCCTCCGGGCCGTGCGTGCCCTGGAACGTGACGGGAGCGCCGGAAGCAGTGGACGCCGAGGGCAGGTACTTGGCAGGGCAGGTACTATACCATTACCCAGAGCGGCCCCGTTGTATAGGCGGGCTTGCTCAGAGAGCGCCGCGCTACTTGCGGTAGTCGCCATGGCTGGTGGTCACCCCCGTGTGGGGATCCACACCCAGGTTGGTGCCAGATACGTGGAAGCCAGACTCGTCCACAACGAAATCGACCGTCTGGTTCACACCGCGAATGTCCCGGTAACTAAACGAGCCGACGACAGGAGTGAAGGGGAAGCTGGTATCGTAATTGGCGTTTTGATCGTAGGCTTGGTGGCCGTCACCGCCCCGGGAGAAGCCAGGGATGTTTTTCAAGAAACCACCAGCATATTTGGTGTAGGGGGCAGCCAAGTTCATCCAGTATTGGAGCGCGTCCGGCCGTCCCAGGTTGCTCGGCCCGCTGAAGTGCCAGCGATCGTCGGCAGCCGCAACGGCGAGGACAGCGCACACCACCACCTGAAACACACAAACTGGACCTAATATTTTCTTTTAAAAATAATTGAGGGAAAAGAGCAATGACATAGGAATGCTGAAAATGTATCGCAGAAAAAATCTGACGGATTTGTTTTCAAGTTAACTATGCCGACTTGAACGAAAGAATCGTTTTGTCATCTGCAAGATTGCAAGGAACGCACGGACAGATAACGGTGGCATTTATTTAACAGAAGAACGGATTTAGCCATATATCTTTGCAATTGAAGGTCACTACTGATAAAGGTATATTCTAAGTTTGTAAGTGGTTTTGCACTGAGGTACCCATCACTGAGGTACCCATCAGTAACGCCACCATCATATTCCCTGCGGTTCAAGCCACACCTTGTTTAAGACTTCGAATCACCTCGCTTCTGAACTTAATGCACGTGGACTTGTGCACCCCATTACCCATTGCCTATGGTACTTCTACCCACCATGTGTAAGATCATAGAATGTCACGCGAAAACCTCACCTTATTGACCGTGTTGTACCCATCGCCAAGACAATATGGCTGTTAAAGCTTTCGTGTTTTGCAGTTATGCAGCGCCTAATGTCCAAACGATGAGAGGCAATTGACTAGCACATTGGGCTGCTAGTTGTATGGCTGGACCACTTTGATCACTTTGTTAGTTGGATAAGAGCCCTTTCGGCCAGTAAAGGCCATTTCAGGGTTGTGGGATGCAGAAGAATGGATGTCGGTGGGGCAGGGCCATATGCACCGGCGGACCCAAACTCCAAGATTTAGCCCGTACAGGAATCCTCTTACGGGCATGTGTCTGCCGCTCGGACGGGGCCCCCACCAGGGACCCTTCGACCCACTCGTGACTGGCCCGTGCAGCCTGTTCCCGGATAAAACAAAAACAAAGGCGAACTGCTAGATATGACAAACATGAGACTAAGTATCGAATAACTTAAGAAAAGTGCCGTAGCCAAAACGACAAGAGCATGTAAGGAAGCTGATATTACGGAAAAGATCCAAGAAAACCAAGAGAAAAGGATAAAAGCCCGCACATAAGGTGTGCTTATCAAGGTCACACGCATAGATCAGTAACGCCACCTTGTGGCGCATACAAATATCTGGAGTGAGTCACGTAGCAGTCACATAGGGCAACGACTGTAGGATCCTAAAAACGTCCCATGACTTAATCCAATGACAACGTTTTAAGGCACATATATCCTTATCGGTGAAATTGTGATCTACAGCAGCCACTTGCAGTTAAAAGCATGCGAACAGTTACAAGCGAGTTGTGTGTATCATATCTGATGCGTGGCTCAATATATCGAAGTGTGCAACAGTCCCTTTAAGTTGCTGACTGGGACTGTTTCTCCCGATAAAGTTAAACAGCATAATGCAATGCACATCTTTAGCAAGCATCGTAAGCAGAGGACTCACCAGGACTTTCATGGCTGAACTCGCTGGGATCTGTGATGCCTGTGGTCATGGGCCGACCAGCTTTATATTGGCGGGAGCGGTGCTGACTGTGAAGCCACGCCCACGCTGACCGCAACGCTCACATATCATTGGAGGAGATGTTGCCGGCTCGATTTTCGCGAACAGTGGCCATCATCGGCCATCGCCCATCCCACCCCGCGCCAAGGTCGGAGAAGGGCCTATCCCCTCATGTAAACCGCAGAGTAAGAAACCTGATGCATGAGAAAGCCCGTTTTGTAGCGTTGCAGCACCGGGTTACTGTTGTGGGTTCCTTTAACGGCAGCATCAAATTCGGGTCGTCGTGTGACGATCAGCCTGGCGGTGGCCGCAGATAGCCATACCCAGAGGGCTTCTCTTACCGCATCTGGTCAAAGGAACAGCCATTTGCCGCCGAATGCTCCCAATATGACGTCAGTGGTCGTCTGGCCTGTGTCGCAATGGGGTCACCGGCGACGGTTCCTCTGAGCACCGGACGCTGACCTCGTGCATCCCGTGCTGTGTGTTGTGTTAGACTTATGTTGGGTGTCCGGCTGGTTTAATTTTCGTGGAATATTTCGAATTAGTTTTGAACAAACAGGCAAATGTCTGCACTATAGAAGTGTCTGGCCAAAATCACGGTAGTCTTGATTTGACACCGAGGGGCCGCTCACAAAAACTATAAGCCAGCCGGAACCATCCCTTTCGATGGAACCCAGTGTATTGCGAATGCTGAGGAGCACGTTCACGGAGGGTGCGTGCTATACCAGCAGTCTCCACGACGGATGTGGAGCTTGCGAGGCCGGCGTAGAGCTTGGGTAGTCGGCGAAGGTAAGTGGGGCTTGCGTGTTCGGCGTGGAGCTTGCGTGGTCGGTGTGGGGCACGCGTGGTCGGTGTGAAGTTTGCGTGGTCGGGGTTCAGCCTGTGAGGCCGGTGTGGAGTCTGACTGAAATTTTTGAAGGTGATAGATCCTCAAAACGGCCATTATTATAGAGATTACAGCGTCACACCACACAGACCCATCAGCAACAATAAAATCGGTCAGACTGGCAGGTGAACACAACAGACCCATCAAGCCACACAGACCCATCAGCAACAATATAATCGGTCAGACTGGCAGGTGAACACAACCAGGCGGTGCAAAACCACACAGGAATCCAACAGATCATACTTCGAAATGTGCCAAAGCACACTGGCATAGTGAAAAACAGCAGCGTACTCAAAGCTCACTGCATCCACATAGCCAGACGTTTCATAACTGTATAAGTTGCATCACATAATATATAACATGAATAATATAAATCACATAAATTGAGTCCAAAGAAGCTCATAAAGTTCACAGTTGGAAGTTCATAGCTAGAATGGCATAGTTCATAGATAGATTCCTGTCGTAGAATACATAACAACGTTCGAAATTTGCAGAACATTTCTAAAAATAGCATTGACCTAACGTGTTGCCTATTAACACAAGCTCGGGTGAGCGGGGGTCAATTTGCCCCCCCCCTCCCCAAAGGTTTTTTTCCAAAATGGTTTGCAAACAACATGGCATAGCCCGCCAAATTTTGCGTAGCTGTAGACAGTTGAATGGCAGATCGTTCAGTATAAAATATTTAGATGCATCTTGTAACATTGCTGACCTACAGCAGGTCAAAGCTAGACCATGGAACCAGCGAAGGCAGTTTCTAAGAAATCGTTCAATCTGATGCAGCGACGGAGTGTTGGACGAGACCATACACCACTGAGATAGATTCTTGGCCGGAACAACAACTGAATGAACAAATTCCATTGACCTAGGGTCAAGTATGAAGGTTAAACAAAGGTCAAAACCGACCTGCTTTATTAATACAGAATTTGCTGTGTGGGGTGTGTGTGTTGGTACTTATTTCAAAGTCATTGATAATAGGAACCACCTTAAAATCTTCCATGGACCTCTTAAGGCTCAGAATAGGTCACCGACCTAAAATGGCCCCATGTTTTGTTTCTTGGGAACATACTGCCCAGGGTAATCTTTGACACTTTTTCAAATGCAAAACTCAACGCAGTCTTGTATGATTTTAGTCACCATGACCTGGAATAGGTCAAACAAGGTCAATGACCTTAAATGAGCCCCAGTGACCTTTTGCTTAGAACGGGTATCTAGGTTCTGGGGGCACTTTGGACACCAATATGTAGTTAAACATTGATTGACCTTAATTAAGTCGAAGGTCATAATCTAGAAACCTCAAATTTTGACATAATGAATTTACATATAGACCAACACACCCTGTGAATTTGTTACCTCTAGCTCTGTTAGTTTCTGAGATCCCTGGGGGGGGGGACAATTTGACCCCCACCCAGGCAAAGGGTATTGAACCGGCCTCTTGAGCACGTTAAGAGGCCTGACTCGGAAATCAGTTGATATTTCTTCTGTGAACGCACGCTTGCAGCAAGTGTTTACACATTTCATTAATATACATATATATATATATATATATATATATATATATATATATTGACATATAAAAGCGAATGCGTACGGTTTCGAAAATGTTTGCAAACATTCACGTCTAACCTATGATCAACGCGAAATGCCTCTTTAAAGTTGCATGTAGAAATGATGCATGAAAACGTAAGGAATTGCGTGGTGATATCATCACCACCCGCTATTCGCAACTCACGAAAACTCGCTTTGGCATTTAGTGAATGTCCGGTTGGCACCTAATGGACATATTTGTGTCAATACGTATTCTCAGACTGTGCGGAGCTGCCTGGCGCCGGGCTATGGTGGCGGCGTATTGGTGCTCGTCCACCCTCATCTTTCTGGCGGGCTGGCCAGCATGCAGCCCTCGACTCTGCATGGTGGTCGAGGTCCGGCCGGCGACGCTGCTAGGCTGGACGCCGATCCCGGTGCCGCTCGGCCGCCCACCGGAGAACACACCGGGATTTGGGAGCGCCGATAACTTGCCTGCACCACGGTGCCGATCGGAACCCTTAAACATGCATGCTATTACCATATATGCTAATTTAGGGTTTCTTAATTCAACGTTTTAACTAGAGACATGACGTCCATGGCCTTGATCGCTCTTCAGGATTCCGAAATTACCGAAGTGTTTTTCGTGGCCAAACAGCACAGATGCCCTTTAATTCCCAACTACAACAGCCGTGATGGCGCTCAAGGTTTTTCTAGATGTGGCGCTCACGATTTCGAAACGCGAGGGAAAGCATAAGTGGATGCGGTGACTGTCAGCAAGCTGACAGCGTCTCTGAAAATGTCTCGATGCGGTTTTTTTAGCTACCAATAGTAACGGTTTGTCTCCCTGTGGTGCCAGTCAGAAGTGACACCTGTAGCCCTTCTCATAAAGAGTTGTTACAAATAGTTTGTGTTTGTAAGTTGTAATTTAGAATGTACGGACTACAAGTTACAACTGTTTCATAAAAGTAGCGCGGGTTGTAGAATTGTAGTTGTAAAGCTCTGCGCCTTGTGTAATTTGTCGCTGCCTAAATCACCCGCCTTGCAAAGGACGTATAGGAAGCACGCCTGACCGGCTTTTATGACGCCATACGCCCAACGTTGACGTGACGTCACTGGAGTCTTGACTCAGCGAGAGCAGCGCGCAGCCCCGCACGATGCATATTACGATCTGTATATTTGCGTTTCCGTTGGTTACAGCTGCACTGCATGCCAAATTTGCTGGGAAAAGCTACTCTTTTTTCCTGCCGTCCCTAAAAATATGATGTGTTATCAAACGATTAGTTCGGTGCAAATTCGTTGAACCTAACCTAAATCACATCGCCTATAGTGAGCGGGACGTTGGTGTTAATGCATGCAGTCAGGCTCACGCAGTCGGGCTCGCTGTTCTCGCTGTCTCCGCTCCTTCCGGCGCCGGTTTCTGTGGCACCCATGTGCACGTGCCCAGGGTCGCACCCAGAATCCTGGTGGGGCAGGAGTGGCACAGGGCTTTATGGGAGGCCCCTGGTGAAAGTTACTAAGTTTTCAGTGGGCCCCAACGTTTCTTTTCCTTTCGTCTCCGTTTTTTATCCAGTTATTCCAAAGGACGTTTTCATGAAGGGGCCATGGAATGGACGCTGACACCACATGCTTGTTTCGTTCAGGCGGCGCCGTTAGTGAAACACTGGGAACCACAGAATACTTATGATGCGACATTCTGGTGACACGGGCGCCGGGCCTCATGGTCGATTCAGAGGCCCTCTGAGGAAACATTGGTATCCTTTATGACGCCGGCTGTCCTCTGACGGGAGCAGTTCGTGCGACTCGGAGTAGAGGCCCTTCAATGACGCACAATAATTTCTTGCAGGTACAGAGGATTTACTATATAACACAGGAATCACTTTTAACAAAATGAGGCCCCTGGGCAAAACGGAGCAAGGTCGCTTGTTGGTTATTGGGCCCACTGTCCGACACATTAACATTCCATTGTGTCAATCAATGCGGGCCCTATTATTGCCCTATTTCCTGTCCTCCCTTTATTGTCAGGGGCCTGAACAATGCAGGAGGCCCACCGACATTCCAGGTCCGTCACTGTCCCTTTCTAGCAAACGGGCCCGCTGCCGACTCGGATTCCCTTCCTGACACAGGATCCCTTGTCAGGCACTGTGGCCCCATGATAAGACAAAGTAGCTGTTTTCATCCGTGCTTAGCTAGCCTCCGCGCCCACTTGCCACTAGTTCGTACCAAAAGCAGGGGCGTAATGGAGATTTGCTTAAGAGGGTGAGAGCATACCTGGGCGGGAAGCGCATCGCGCCAATTTTTTTTTAAGAGCGCTGTGGTAAAGATGAAGACCCGTGGGCAGAATGCAGCGCCCCTTGACTGTGCTCCTCCATAACAATCAAACAGCGGCGACAGCAGGGTGTGACGACTACGACCTTGCAGGCAGGAGTCGGTTTGTTCCCTTTGTAAGCTTATGGGGGTCCTCGTTTGACACCTGTCTACCATAGTTGGTTGCCTGCCCCCCCCCCCCCCTCTTCACAAATCGTTTGACCCCAGTGCCACAAAATGCTCAGGAAAATATGAACATCACAGGGACCTTCTTCAGACATGACCTGTAGAT